CCAGGAAACTCCCATAGATCGACCTCCTTTTGGCAGACCCTGTTTTGTTGGGGTGGGGTTCCATGTATTGTACTTTGCGCGGCCAACGTAGCGTCCAAGGGCAATTGGCTCCAGCTTCAGCCATCGCAGCGCCTGATCGTGACTTTACTTTCGCAGCACGAGGGGTGTCAACGGGAAACCAAACGGAAACGATGTACTGCCTCTTTTGGAGGTCAAAAGTTTGGAAACTCGGGGAAGATTAAAGAACCAAAGGCCCGTAAACAGAAACCCAACTGAATACGGCATGCGTCTCAACTTCGGATTCATTCGGAAGACCATGATCTGAGAACTCCCTAGAAGGAATCCCCCACAAAACGGAAACGACATCTCACATGTGTGCTAATGCGAAGTTCACTACGTTCAAATGCTCAATTACGCTAAACTGAGGGACCTGAACGTGATGGTGGGAAACACCCATTTCTGTGAGACCAAAGTGGGCCATCCCCCCTAGATACTTCATCACTCTGAGGGGGGGTCCTTGGTATCACAGAGACTCGCCCTCAAACCCACATTGGTGTGTTTTCGTTCTTTTTTTTCTGTATTCTTTCCTGTGTTTTTTCCCCTTGGTAAAATCAAAAAAAAGGGACCCTCAAAAAAGACACGCCCGCATGTTCCACAACCATGCCCCGCCACTCTATGCACAAAACCCGGCCTCCCCGAGAGGATTCCACAGGCCCTGGCCAAGGGGGGAGAAAAATACGCCACAAAGAAACATGGAACCCAGACACTCCTTCTACGGGAATCTCCCGAAAGTGACTCCCGACTCCCCTGTTGGGTTTTCGTGTTTGCAGAGGAGTATCTCACATAACGAGCTTGCCACTTTGGATTGAAGGAAACTCCAACTTGGTATCATAGAATCATAGAAAGTGGCACAACCATGCCTTTGGAATGCGTTCTCTTGTTCAGAGCCACGCAGCTTGTGTGCTTAATATGTCGTGCAGAGTAAACGACATCTCCACTGAGCAGGTAGAAGGAGAGATATGATCCACCGCCAAAACCTGCGGTCCTTGCCTTGCCGTCAAAACATGGGAGAACTATTTGAGCCCCCTGGCTTGTTCGGAATTTCTCATGAGCTCCCCTTTCCAGAAACCAAGACCACACTCCCTGCACAGGATACCGGCCAAACGTAGCAGCTAGAGATCGTGCCTTTGAGAAATGCCAAATTCATGAATCTGGCTGCATACGTGTCATGACAATCAAACATGAGCATGTTACATCTATGTGTATTTGAAGGCGTGCCAGCCCCATGGCTGAGTGCGTCGCGATACCGTGTGCCACACTTCGGCAGGCCACGTGCTGTACAAATACAAAACGGACGGCCCTTGCCCTCGGCCATTTGCCGGATCCGCCCATCTATTGGGGGCTCTGTACAGGAAGCGTCCGGCATGCGGCACGATGAGTCAAATTCGAGCCGAAAACTGATTGTGTGTGTGTGTGATCATGTTCCAGAAAACACACGCATCCTGCAAAATCCGAAGGCCAGCTTTTGGGCCCTTCGAAACACGCAACTCCTCGCGCGAAGCGCGCGAATATGCAACGCCTCGCGCGGGGCGCCCTAGACTCGTTTTCTTCCGCCTCAAAAGGCCAGGACTGCGAACTCCACGATGCCTGTGGTCTTCGGCCGCCGCACGGGCCGCGCAACCATCATCTCGTCCTCGTCCTCTTCCACCTCCAAGAAGGTCCGGCGCACTACCACCCGGTGCGAAGGCAGCGCTTTCTTCAGGCTCTTCGGTTCTGCTGACGCGACGTCCACGACGCGCGGCTGCACGTCCGCATGGAAGCTCGGGGCGGTGGATCCGCCATTGGCCCTGCGGTAGGCCTTCTTCTGCAGCAGGAAAGCCTCAACGAAGCGGTCCTTCACTGCCTCCCACTCCTTGCACGGGTTGGCAATTTGCGCCTGTAGCCCCCACAAAGAACATTCAAAGCAATTGAAAGGGGACATGAGAAGCGGCTTGGTGCCCTTTGGTTAGGGGTACAACCCCGTCCTTGCGCGCCACCACGCACTGGTAGGGCACCAGTCGCTGCCCGTCCAAGGCATTGTAGGCCGCCAGTTCCAAACCCAGGCGAGAGGCGAAGGTTCGCACGTAGTCCGACACGCAGAAGCGGGTGCCTTCCAGGGCTGCGCAATGCTCAAAGCATGGTTTAGACTCCACCTTTAGGGAACCTCCTTCCTTCAAAAGGATTTGATGGTTGAAACAATGGAAGATTAACAACCTCCTTTTGGCTTTCAATTGAAGGAATCGGGCCAAGGGGTAGTCAAACAAAGCTAAAACCATGCAGAGCTGGTCGTTGAATCAGCTTTTTGCACCCGGCACCTTCTCCGCAGCCGTTCGGGGCCATGTCTGGGTTGAAGCGCGTCCAGTGCTCCAAGCCCGCGCTCTGCCCGGCACTGATGGACACCGTCGCCTAATCGGAAGCCGGGCGAATCAGCCCCCTTGTTCAAATTGGCTTGGAAAATAATACGAACAACTTGTTTAACCACGTGGGGTTCCCAAACCCGGGGTTGATCGTTTCGGGTTTAAACCCGACCTCCATGGTCGCGCCGGTTGGGACCAGCGGCAGCCCACGCCGGCAGGACTGGACGGTGAGCACCGTGTAGCCCCGGGCCTGTGCTATGGATGCGGACCAGGCCGCCCTTCTTTTGCGGGAATCGTTCTCCCGCGTTTGTGGAATGATTTTGCTGGGTCCATTTCAGGGTTGGTGATACCAACATGTCAAGGGGGATTCCCAGGACAACTTTGTCATTTATGGGATTGCCGTGGCCACTATGCCACTCACAGAAAGCGGCGACCAAAAATATTCCCTTGATATCAAACCAATCCAAGGAAACCAAAACCCTTCACCAAGTTGCTACCCAGTGTGCGTTGGTCATCTTTTAGGAACTCGGAGCAACCCTGCCTGAAACTGCTCGAGGGTGCGAGCCACAGCCATGGTGAGTCCAAGTCAAAGGATCTTTACACAGAGGCGGTCACTCTCTTGAGCCAACAGTTACATACCACAATTTCTCTTACGGGGCGGTGTGATTCGACCAGCCAAATTCCATGGGGGTCCTGGCAACTTACAGAACATAATCTCAGAGAATGGGGAACTCAGCCCTAGAACCAAAGTAAAATGAACTTCTGAGGGTCTGAGTCCCTCTCTTGCGGAGCGAGGCTTGGCGCTGCGCGCGGAAAACGTGCGAATTCCGCAAACAACCAAATGTGCGGAAAAACAAAGCACAGTCTCTGCGGAAAAAGCGGACCCCTCCTGAAAGGGGGCCGTCGAAAAGCGGATCCCCAGCCAATCCCTCCTGAAAGGGGGCCGTGATGAAGGTTGTCTTGGGGATCCGCTTTTCGAGCTGGAATCCGGCATTCCAGCTTGAAAAGCGGATCCCCAGCCAATCCCTCCTGAAAGGGGGCCGTGATGAAGGTTGTCTTGGGGATCCGCTTTTCGAGCTGGAATCCGGCATTCCCAGCTCGAAAAGC